ATGCTCGTGAGCAAGGTCTTGAGCTTCAAACTGCAATGTGGCAGCTTCAGCAGACAAGATGGCCTTACGAGCATGGATCTGGTCGATCTCTTTCTGAAGGACATGTTCTCTTTCCTCAAGGCCGATGAACTCTGTATTCACTCTTTCAAAGGAGGAAGCTTGAATTAACAATTGGTTAGCAAGGGTATCCTTCCTGTTTTTACTCTTGTTGAATTGGTTGATTGCTTCATTGGCTTGGAAAATATCATCGGTCAGAGTTGGTAGCTGGCCTTTAAAGGTAGCAATAGTGGCTTGAAGATCAACCGGAAAGTCTGGGTACTGGCTGAGTGTAGAAAGCACTGCTGTGAGTTCACTTTCAAAATTAGGAAGATCAGCAGCATCCCTTTTCAAGATATCAAGTAAAGATTTTTTGGTCTCTTCTAAGGATTGTATAGGGATATTGGTTGAAGTGACTGGGGTGGCTCCAGAAGATTCACTTTCTTTCTCTTCGGTCACTGAAGCCACCACATCTTTAAAAAAATTGCTCAAAGCCAATAAGGATGAAGCAGGAACTTTTTGTGGAGGAAGTAAAGGGATAATTTGAGTTTTCTCATACACAACCTGACAAAATGAGGAAAGATTAGATCTTAAGTTTTTTTTTTTTTTTTGGGATATGAGATAGTCAATACCTTAGATGATTCGGCTATGTCTGTCACTAAGAGTGGCTGATGACTGGTTTCTGGAGGAGGAAATTCTGGCTGAACCGCTGTGCTATCTCCCTGGGATGAAGTTTTAGCAGGAGTGACTTGAACATTGAAGGGCACCTCAATGGGATCATGAAAATCCTTCAGAGGGCTGAAATTTCTAACTGGGCTATAGACCAAGTCAAGAAGAGGAGATTGCTGCAAAAGAGAAGAAATTAAGGACCATATTAATTGAAAAGTTTGGAAATTTCAAGTACAGTTATCTTTACCTCTTTTTCATCTGAGGAATGATCAGAAGGAGTGTCAGTCACATTAATTACGGGATCATCGGCCACGTCTTCTGTAGGATGAAGGTTTTCTAGATTTTCTTCCACTTCCTGTTTCTTACGTTTGCTCAATCTTGTTCTTTTTAAAGTGCCATGAGCAGTTGATTTCTTTCTTTTCCCCTGGAGATGGAAGCTTTATTAAAGTTTGTTTCAGCCAATAATAGTTGTGGCCGAGAATTAGAAGTCAATATCGGCCAAGAATTTTAATAATTGGGCCGATATGATTGTCTTCGTATGTTAATAGATAAAAACTTTTACCTTTGGAGGAACATTAGGGATGATGATTGATTCAGTTGTTGTAGGCTGAGGAGGTTGGCTTGAGGAAATTTCATCATCTTGGGGCTCAATGTTTTCTAGATTAGGCGAGGCTGATAAAGTTCCACTGTCTGAATCTGCAAAAAAAAAAAGGGGGGGGGGGGGGGGGTAAGAGAAATTCAATTAAAAGTTTATATATATATATATATATATATATATATATATATATATATATATACAAGCAAAGGAAAATTGTACCCTTGAGGAGGCTGACAGTGGCTTTGGCCTTGGCTTTTCTCTCTTTATTGGTCCTTGTTGGAGCATCTGTTGGCTGAGAGAAAGGGAGTTTCTTGGCCGTTTGTTTTTTATCTTTGGGAGGATCTTTTTGAGGCATCTTCTTTGGGGTAACGGCCCGGGAAATTACGAATGCCCCTTCAAAGGCCACAGATATGAACTTGAAAGATTCCAATATTTTAACAACAAGGGACTGGCTATCAGCCGTCCTTGTAGAAGTAATGTAAGAAGACCACCATTGATCAAAACTAGAATCTGAGGCTGGGTTTTTTATGAAGGGTTGGAATTGGAACCCGGCTTGCAGATTTGAGAACCGGGAGGACACGTTCTTTACATAGGAGTCATCTGGAAATACCACACGCCTATGGAAGTTTTTATTGAAAGAGAAATAAGGGGGCATGGGGATCATTTGAGTCAGACCAAATTGCCTAGCAAGTTGGTTTGGATTGTAGAACTCAACTCCAACTTTTGAGTTTACTGTGCCTAGAGGGCCAGTGTTGAAATGAAGGTCTCTTGGAATTAAGAAACTGGCCCACATGGCCGAATGCTTATCAGCTGATTTTTTGGTAGACACTCCTTGAGGAGGAGTCAGCCATCGAGGAGCTTGTGAGCAATGAGAAAATGGAAGGAATTGGCTGATAGTCCTCTGTTCACAATCGGAGTAAAAGAAATTGAAGCAATCTCCAAACGAATGGGATTTAGGTACGGCTGATGCGTAACTTACAGAAAGTAATGGGTCGTTGGCCGAAGGCCTTACCACAGGTCCGAGTTCAGGAAAGTACACTTGAAGCCAAATTTGAAATAACCAGAGGGGACCACCATAGCGTCCGAAGTTGGAGGTAAGCAAGTCATAAATCCCTCTATATAAATGAGAGAGCACCAAGGGGGCAAGAGCAAGGTGTTTACCTCTTGAAAGAGCAACGGCCACATGAATGAAATCTTTTGTGACTTGAAAGGCCGGTACGCATAGAAGAAACTTGTTCAGCCACGCCAACAAGAAGGCAATATGCTCAGCATCATTCACAGGGACGCGAGGATCCATGGTGGAAGTTAAGTATTTGCCATAAGAGGATTCAGATGACTTGGTTCCAGTTTGCTTTGAAGGGAAGATGAAAGGAGAATCCTCTTCTACCAATAAGGTACTTACATCAATCCCAAAGGGTTTGAGGCCGGTTAGATAGCACACGTCTTGAATGGTTGGAGCCATCATGCCACACTTCAAGTGTAAGGAGTTGGTGGTGGTCGACCAATTAAACATGGCTGCTATCATCAAGGCCCTGTCTTGGGCGATGTTAGTTTTACTTAGCTGAATGGCATCATATATGCCACAATCCTTCCATACTTCTCCCTTTACAGCTCCAACCCGGTCGACCCAATTGATCCAAGCATCATTTGGAATATGCCATGTTCTAAAATGAAAGTGTGGCAAACTGCCATTTTCATTAGGAGGGAAGGTTTGAAGGAATGGAAGAACGTCGGCCGAAGGATAGAAAGTTAAGATTGATGAAGGGGCTTCGTCAAGGAAAGCAGGACCTAAGCCTTTGAAGTCAGTACGAAGATCGATAAGGGTATTGAGACAGTATTTGTAAGGAGATAGAGTTTTTAGGGATTTTTCTATGATGTTGCCATGGGTTGAAGGATCGGAAGGTTGAGGGATAGAGGTGGAATCAGTTGATTTAGTTTTCTTAGGAGCCATAGAAGACTTCAGGAATGATTTTGCCGAGAAAGAAGTTTCAGAGATAGAAAGTTTAAGGGAAGAAGAATGATTTTAGGGATTAGAGGACATCAAGCTAAATACTTGTTGGATGTAATAGCGGATTAGTGTAGTCGCCGCTTTAATTGGGAAAGATAACCATTAAAGCAGGTGGTTGGGAAAAGGATTTATTACTAAAATTTGAATTACAATTTTAGGCCGATTCAAATTCCAAACGCTTCGTATCATAAGTGATAAAAGCCTTTGAAATTCAGGGGGCATTTGTTGGTACCAAAACTTGGCAGCCACTTCAGCAGCGACGTGGACCAATGGGAAGCCGATAAGGGTTGAGCATGTCCAAGAATGGATCGGCCAGTTTGAAGATATTAGGAGCAAATATAGAAAGATATATTTCAGCCACCTAATGATATGGCAGTTGCTGAAATATAGCAACTCACATTTGACTTTTTTCAAAATGGGATGTTAACAGAAAAGGAAAAGGCTAGAGTTTGGATGAAACTCAATAACTAAATTCCTATAAAATAGGAAGTTTAGTTTGATGAAAGAAGGAAAGCTTTGAAGACATGGCGCTAAAGGATAGGCCACTTGGGATAGAACACGGCTGCTAAACTTAAGGAGGGGAGTTGCTAAAAATTAGCAACTTTTCAGCAACTTTCTAGCAACGTTTTAGCAATATCTCGGCAACTTACATGTGATTAAATCGAGGAAGGTTGTTTTTACAGAGATTTCCTACTGAAACAAAACAAGAAAGGAAGCAGAATAACAATAGGATTTGACTGAGTTCAAATTGTGAAGAAAAAGAATCAAAGAAGGAGAGATTTTCTAGCAATAACTTAGGAAAATAAGTTGAGATAGAACTTCTATAAATAGAAGTATTGTATTCCATTTCTAACTTGTCCAGCACCACCACAAAACATGCATTTCAACTAAAAATGTTTTCAATTGACTCTACGTCATTTTTTTCCTATCAATTTCTTTATTTCAATTTAATGGCAATTGATTAGATCATTGTCAACTATTTCAATTCAGCCATTTACTTTCTTTCAATTTCAATTATGCCAATTTTAATTACGCAATTTTAGTTAGGCTTTTAATTCAATGGCAATTGATTAAATTCTTGCCATTGAATCGTAGTGACAATTGATTAAATTCTTGTCATTACTTGGCTGATGGCAATTGATTAAATTCTTGCTATCACGTTTCAGTGGCGATCGATTAAATTCTTGCCATTGTGTTTAGCTGATGGCGATTGATTAAGTTCTCGCCATCACGTTCGGCCGGCGATTGATTAAGTTCTTGCCGCCTGTCTTCACTCGGCCATTCCATCCATTCAAACATTCATCAGCCGTTACATTTCTTTAGACACTCTAAAAAGTCCTTGCTACAAACAAGGTATAAAAGAACCCTGCTGGGAGTTCTTACTAGTCTCTCTCCCACACAATCGCCTGAGGGTCAGCCATCGGAAAAAGGAATAGGCTGGTGTTCAATTACATATTTTGGGTATTTTGTACAAATACTCTGGCACGCCCGCGAAGAGTCCATCGACCGGCGTAAGGAACAAAAACCGCGCGAACACAAACAATAAAGGCCAGGGAGAAACCGGTCCTGATAATACTTGACGATGTCTGGGGCAAACTTGATCTGGAGGCAGTTGGCATTCCTTTCGGGAATGATCATAAGGGTTGTAAAGTTGTGTTAACCACTCGAAGCCGAGATGTTTGTTATCGAATGGGAGTTCAAAAGATTGTTCCTGTGGATGTGTTGGATAAACAAGACGCATGGGTCCTTTTCAGGGAAATGGCAGGCGGTGAAGCTGTGGATTCCAGTGATTTGAATCACATTGCAAGAGAGGTAGCAGCTGAATGCGGTGGTGTGCCACTTGTAATTGTGACCATCGCTACAGGGTTGCAAAATAAAAACCAGCGCGTGTGGGCTGCTCGGGCTCGACAGCTGAAGAACTCAAACTTACAACATGGAATATTGGAAAAGAAAGTGATTGCCAAACTTGAGTTGAGTTTCAATTATCTCGAAAGGGAGGAGTCCAAATTATTGTTCTTACTCTGTAGCTTATTTCCAGAAGATCATAACATTTCGGTGGAAGACCTGATGAGATACGCCTTGGGGCTGAAGATGTTTGGAGATGTCAACACCATTGAAGAGGCAAGAGAGAGAACCTATGATGTGGTAAGTACCCTTACTGATTCTTTTATGTTATTGGATGGTTCCGAGGAAGGGTCCGTTAAAATGCATGACGTTCTTCGCGATGTTGCAATATCCAATCTGAATGAGAGGTACGGGTTCAAGGTTATGGCTGGACTGAAAAATTGGCCAGATACACAAACATTTGAAAATTATTCAGCCATCTCATTGATATCAAATGATATGAATGAGCTTCCTCGTGAGCTATCAGCCCCAAAACTCCAGACCTTGCGAATACAATGCAATTCTCACTTGCAAATTCCAGATGATTTCTTCAAAGGATCCAAAGATCAATTGATTTTTTTAGAAATGAGCGGTATCCATTTCTTGCCAATACTTCCACCATCACTTCAACCGCTTTCTAATACCCTTCGAACCCTTCATCTAACTTCTTGCAAGTTAGAGGACATATCTATGATAGCAACACTAAAGAATCTTGAGATTCTCAGCTTTAGTGGTTCTGAAATTGGTGGAATTCCTTGCAATATTGTCGAATTGAGTCGTCTGAAACTCCTTGATTTGACAAAGTGTAAAAATCTAATCAGTATAGCAGCAGACATCAGCAAACTTCCTAATTTAGAGGAGCTATATTTGCAAAGAAAATTTTAAGTTCGACAATCTTGTTGGGCTAAATTCCTCTTCTCGATTGACTTGTCTACAAATTTTTATTCTTATCGATCGAGATCTTTTGTCTATAGATTTACTTCAGCTCGCGAAAAAATTAACAAGTTTCAAAATAACAATTAGCTTGCATAAATTGGTAACACCTGGTTTCATCCGGTTTCCTAATCCTTATGTAAGCATGGGAAGATTGACAATTTGCCATCGTGGGCAATTACAGACATTATTGTCAATGCCGTGGGTTAAGTCGCTGTTACAGAAGACTAACCATCTAGTTTTGGAATTGTTGAAGGATTCGAATAATATCTTCAGTGAACTAAATGAGGAGTGCTTCAATGTATTAAAGTCTCTTGAAATCAATTTCATGAATGAGCTGGTTTCATCCAGTTTTCTTGTAACGCTAAAAAATCTTGAGATGCTCTGTGTGAGTAATTGTCCCAAGTTGAATGAGCTGGTTTCATCCAGTTTTCTTGTAATGCTAAAAAATCTTGAGATGCTCCGTGTGAGTAATTGTCCCAAGTTGAAAAAGTTATTCTCACCAATGCTATTAAGAGGGCTTCCTGGCCTGAAATCCCTCGAAATTAGTTCTTGCCATGGTTTGGAAGTAGTAGTTAGACATGATGAGGAAGAAGATACGGAAATAGCAGTCCCTTGTTTGAGAAGCCTCACCCATGTGAGTGTGTTTGATTGCACAAAATTAAGATGCCTTTTCTCAATCTCCATTGCTCAAGGTGATCTTGACAAACTCAAAAATTTGGAAGTACTCTCCTGTAAGGCTTTGCGAAATGTAATTGGGGATAAGAAAGGAGAACAAGAAGTGGCTTCAGCTCGGAAGATTGTATTCCCTCGCTTGTCCTCAATGTCACTTAAATTTGTGCGCATGTTGAAGTGTTTCTGCACCGGACGTTATACTATAGAGTGGCCATCTTTGGAAATGCTGGATTTCCGAGCTTGTCCCAATATCCAGACTTTTGGTTATGGAGACCAAGTAACACCCCGACTGAAGAAAGTGAGAATGGAATTCACGTCAGCAGACTCACCACACAAACGCATTTCGAGGATAGATACTATGCTCGAAGGCAACAACCTTAATGACGTCATCAAAATTTGTTACAAGAAGGTACGTATCATTGAGCATATATAATAGGCATGCATGGACTCATGTACGTATAGATTATATTCTATTAATTTAATTATAATCATAAAGATCATACATATTTCTTTGTGGACATGACATACAATGGTTGTGTATGTACGTTCCTCACAGTGGGATGGTTTTTTAGGAATGGCCTCCGGTACTGGCAGCTGGTCCCAGTCAGTCTTCATCGGAGGCAGGTCCCAGTAACTCTTCCCTGTAAGGCATGACACACTCAAGACTCAATGGCTGTGCGATCAGGTTTGTCCCTTGCCAATTCACCAAGTATGTGTTAGGTAAATGTTTTTTATATTTAGTCCATAAACAATGTTCGTCCAAGAATTTCAGTTGAAATCTTCGGCCAGAGTAGCACTGCTCTATGTGTTATCCATAGATCTATACGTATTTAAATTGTTCAAAGTTAAATAGTCTCATGCATTTAGGGTATTAGACTTGAAGAGGAATTTTCACCACCACAAGGGAGTTTAATTAAATATCAATACCAAAACTAACAATATATATAGCAAGATGAATTACTATAAGCCACTGGAAGAACTCTAGAATATTAATATTCACTAATGAAAATTTTCTTTTTGCTTGTATTTGTTTGAAAAGTAGGAGGTCGGTGATGGTTCCCAGGAGGATGATTGCCATCCTCGAGCTGCAAAAATAAAGAAATAAAAACGGTGTGATCTTCATTTCTTGGTTGTGTACAATAAAGATATTTCGTCTCCAGCAGGCATGTATATATTGTTGCTTTTGTTATTCGCTGGTTCTTTGATGTATTGTAATTCTTTGGAGTGAGCTTCATTATATTTGCGGCTGGTGTGCTTACTTGTACAAAACAGTATTGTATGTGAGTGTAATGTTTTATGTATAAAGTTGTTTTTGTTGTTCTAATAAAGTAGTTGGGTTAGTAATAAACATGAAGTTTTCTTTTTCTTTTTTTCTTTTTCTTTTTTTTTTATAGTTTAGTTTGCAAATAACTGTCACAATACTTTGTTTTATCTTTTACTTGAATAAGAAGAAAAAAAAAATTCACTAGATCACATATCTTGATGATTTAGTAATTATGAAGCTAATTATGTACGCTATGTTGGTCATATGATGGTTCTTTTTATTCCAAATGGAAGAGCAATGGTCCGTAGAAGAAATTTGAAGTAAATGAAAGAGAAGGAAAACGAAGGACAATTATAAATCTCTGTTTTTTAAAAAAAAATTAAGGGGGATTGTGTTAATCAATTAAAATTAGAAATTTAATAAGCACTACTACTTTCTTCCGCATCTTTCATAAGAAATGAATTTTGTCCATTGGGTACACAAAAATAAAATGTTCGTTTACATTTTTCTTTTCTTTTTTTTTTTCCTTTTTTTTTTTTTTTTGTGTTATCAGTTTTTAAACGTCCTATTAATTTTTTTATTTTTTTTCACTTTTTCCTTCCTTTGTCATTTTATTTATTTTTCTCTCCTAATTATCCAAATGCACCTTTAAAAGGGGAGGTATTCTTTCTTTTTTATTTTGTTTTATTGGTTCAATTACTTCAATAATTTGCAATGGATACATGCATTGGATAACTCTAGTTATTGATGGAAAGGTCAGCGAAACTGGTGCGGTAAATGGACACTAGCCAGGGCGACTTGATGTAACTTGGGGGTTTAGGCAAAAAAATAAAAATAGCCTTTCGTACCATAATATTTAATATATTAATATTAAATAATAATTAAAGAAAATCATTCTTCTTGTTTTTTGAGATGTAAAATTACTAATTAAATTCTTATATTCAAGTGTGGTTAAAATATCTTTTTCAATACTTGTGACATAGTAGATATGATTTTATCAATTTTAATTTTGAAAAACTCCTTTTATGCTACAACAACAATTACAGGTATTGTCAATAATATTCAGTAAAAAATCTAGTCTTTTAATATAATTTAATATTTCAATTGGAGTGTTTGTTTCTATGTGTAAAATTTCTTTTAAAACTTTTAATTCTGAAAATAAATTTAAACCATTAATATCAAAGACTCGTCATATTTTATGAATAGTTCTAAATTAAGACTATTTTTTCAAACTATCTGTTGGAAACGGGGACATTAAAAATATAAATTTTGGATGAGGTTTGGAATGGATTCCGCTAATAATTTTTTGCGGATCTCTAAATGAGCGCATTTCTCTCCGCAAGGAGATGAACGTGATATATTTACTTTCTCAAATCCGTTTCCGGGTGAATGAAAAATTAACTCCAAAGTGTGGTGTTTTGATAAGCCTGAATGGGTATGCAAAATGTGGGAAGTGTTTGTCCCACATGGAAAAAATGTTGAAACTAATTGAAATTTAAATAAGTCAAATTTGGGCTTGGGCCTAATTGTAAAGTCCAATTATTTTACTAAATGGAATCTTGGATTGGGCATTTAAATTTGGGCTAGGCTTATTTAAATGGGTGGTTAGTTTTTGAATTTAAATTAAAAGTTAGTTTTTTTTTCTTCAAAGAATTGTATCTATTTCTAAAGGGTTGCATCTGTTTCTAAAGGGTTGCAACTTAAAACCAACAGACATAACTATTCATGTGAACCATTGCAACATATTGGAGTGAATGTGTCATTGGTGAATAGACACCATGTGAACTATTGCAACCTATTAGAGTGGATGTGTCTACTGGTGAACAGATACTATGTGAACCATTACAACCAATTGGAGTGGATGTGTCTAGTGTGAAGAGACACATATAAATGGTTGTGTCCAATGATGAAGAGACACACCCAATCCGAAAAGGCACCTTACTTAAAAACTACTTTTTAGTTTTTTCCAAAGGGTTGCACCCAATCCGAAAAGGCACATTAATTAAAAACTAATTTTTAGTTTTTTCCAAAGGGTTGCACCCAATCCGAAAAGGCACCTTGTTGCCTATAAATACCCCCCTTTGGATCATTTGCAAATCATTCATTTTCATTTTCTTCTATCTCCCTCTCTAGACTTGAACCCAACCCAAATAGGTTCAAACCATAGGTTAAGTGGTCCAAACCACTTAGACCTTAATCCAATTTTATCGAGCCATATTAAGATTGGTTCGAACCATTTGGTTCGGATTGCACTCAATTCAGCATTTATATAGTACAGATGCATTTTTGAGTCAGAGAGAGTATTACACGGAGAAGGTTCACCGTATTCACGAGTTTGTAGTGCTGCTACTGGTAGATGTAGACCGTTGTATCCTAGGAGATAGACGTCACTGAGTCCGTAAGCACCATAGCGGGGCGAATCTGTCTTAAGGATATAGTATCCAATACTAGTCTCGGTCCAGGTTCTTTATTTCTTATTATTATTTTATTACTTTATTTTGCATATTTAATTAAATATAGAGTTGCATATTTAATTAATGATTTCTTAGTATATTGTTAATTATCTCATGACATATTAGTATTAGGTTTGTTATATCTTAAATGTTACATGAAGCATATTTATTTTTCCAACATTCTTAAGACAGATTCGTTCCTTGCGTAGATTTTATTATATGTTTCTATTTAAGATATAAACAAATAGATATTATACTAATAGTTGAGATATAATAAAATAATGTTGTATACATTATTATGTGATAATATGCTAAATATTAATGTGTTCAATATTATGCGAAATTGAAGCATGTTATATAAGTAAATTATTGAATTATTTATATAATTCGATATTGGTTGAATTATTTTAATTTTGTAATATGATATTATGAAGTATATGATATTACCTTAAACATGTGCCAACTGGACGTGGAAAAAGGTACTTCGTTGGTTTTATCAATGATTGCATAAGATACTGTTATGTATATTTGTTAAAAAGCAAATATAAAACATTAGAAAT